TGTGCAATCTAACTAGAGGTTCAAATATACCAACGATGACCTAAATTACGAACTTACTATAACTGAAAAATGTAAACTGTATTCTTTTCACTCAAAGGTCAAATTACGTAATTGGTTGTAACAATAACAAGAAACCTTTAGTCAAGTAGTATGTGACTTTTTATTTGAGACACGTTGATAAATTATGAGCTAGAACATGGCGATATGTAGTACACGTTTTCCAACTGATGTTAATTTCTACTGAGGAAAACTATTGTCGAACTGGAAATCTTATTGATTTTAGCATATTTTTTGCAAATACGTGATTTGTATAATCCATTATTTCAAATTTTAACAAGAACATGACATAAAACATTTTCATTTAGTCTGTGCTAACATTCATCATATGACTAATCTGTTGAGGACACAACCTTTAGAACTTGCTAAGCCATCACATTATCCACCTAGTTAGTGAGTTCAGATAGTCGCTGCTTTGTGCAGTGGAGTGAATTTTAATTCATATGTTTTGGTACTTGGATCCTCCTATTGATATGTAGGACTGCAAATAATCAGTCACTTTTGGTATATATCCATGCTATGACGATTGCCTCAATATTCCAGTAAATCACAGGCATTATAAGCACAGACGTATGATGCATAGCACTGGAGACTTATTCAATCAAATAATGGTCAGGAGTTTGTGGCCCTCGAGTATCTGACTCGAGTTCGATCGTATGATGACCGTATGATTGATTGTCATCGAAATATACATACCGCCAACTCTCGTATATCATCGCTCACTTAAGTCGCATTAGTAAATAACCGAATTAAAATAAATCAAATATGAGAATGAATTTCGAATATGTATATTTCACAAAATCGTTGATCAGAACAAACAATCAGAGAGATGAAGCGAATGAAGATAAGAGGAGAGATTGAGACGAAACAAAATGACGTTTAGTGGAGAAAGCGTGTAAACCAACTCGATTTAACTAAGCGTTGACTGATATTTCTGTTCGAACAAAAATAAGTTGGAGATATGTGGTGAATAGCATAAGAAGTGCACACACATTTATTTACATAGAAATAGTGAAATTTGATAAGCGAATAATTGAAAATGCCAAAATGTGACTCAAAGAGAATGAATAAATTTGTTTATCCGGAAGCTAGGATAAGTTATGTGGGCTTGACATACCAATCGACACCACAAGGATTCTCTATCTGTGTGTTTGTTTTTCTTATTTTTACATTCGCTTGTCATACGTGGTTGAAAACTTTAATTAGTGATGAATAAATTTGTTTGAGTGATTTATTTCAATAATACAAAGACCCAGTAAATTTTTCGCCTAGCTATCACTAGGCTTAAAAAAATTTGACTGCACACAAATGAATCATTCATTAAATATACAGATATTCGATTTAATGAATGATCACTCCAGATATTTTGTCTCATATTTAATTTAGACTGACGTGTTTTCTTGTTTAGGTCACCAATCCTATGTCCAACCCTACTTCTTTATTCGGGCTTGAAACCTGCAGTAGCCTAAGAGGGGCTCTAGGCGGAGTTAACTTAGGTTGGTACTTATCAAAAAGGATTATTCATCTTTATAATTTGATACACTGATAACCATTTATCATGTACGTTAGTTTGAGGTGACCAATAGCTAGGCAATATAATTCTACTATAAATCCAATGTATATACTTGTCAGTTCAAATGTTGTTTACTTTTTAACATTAATGTTCATATAGATTGAGATGGCAGATAACTTTACTTTTTTCTATCTATTCTATGATTTTGATTAATAATGTATTCTATATTTAATCAATCTTATTGTAAAATTTGTTTTGTTTCATTATTCATTATTTTGAATAAGACTGAATCTTGTTAATATAATGAATAATGTGTATAGTTTACTATGATAACGAATAAACTATACAGAAGTGACTATAATCTAACCTTTTTAATTATTTGACCTGAAAAATATAGAATAATTGATTCATTTATGAGAAACAACAACAACAGCGATATGATATATATCCATGATAACAACAAAAATATATATCCTGGAGTTCTGGTGAGAAGCAGTGACCAGTGGAGTTCAACTGGATCAGTTGTGAGGTAGTAACTCACTGAAGACAATGGTGGATGTGTAGCTCAATTTCATGGATTAGCTGAAGTTAAACATTAACACCGTTGGATGCCGGCTCAGTGGTTTAGAGGTTAAACGCTCCTGCGCGAGACTGACGTGTCCTGGGTTTGAATCTCGCGAGGCAGGATCGTGGATGCGCACTGCTGAGGAGTCCCATACTAGGACGAGACGGCCGTCCGGTGCTTCCAGGTTTTCCATGGTTATCTAGTTTTAATTGACTCATGATCCCAACCGTTAAAATGAAACTATTCAATTACTAAATATTACATGATGTACTTATAACATTCAGCTTGTGATTGATTAGAGTTTAGCCCTAAGGTATTGTTGTATGTTATAAGAATATGATACTCAATGAAGAACAAGAGAAAATCAAAACCAACTCCTCAGTATGTATTTGCATTTGATAATCAAATTAATCGATAACACACGGAATGAGGTAAAAAAAAATAATATGATAATCGAATGGATTGTACTCTGGGGTATATAAACGGTGAGCTGTCTAACTTGTATAACTCAAAAATATTCTTTTATATTTATATAAATTCATATTAATTGCATAATAAATTACCCTCAGGAAACACAATACAATCATATCGAATACAAATCATGAACAACAATTAATTATTAAACAGCAATATTACTTAGGTATATAGATTACAAGTGATCCTTTGATATTTGCTGAAAATCATATTAAGAAAATGTATTTTGTCATTCAACGTACCTAATATACCCTCGTTAAATATGCAAAATTCTACAAAGCGATCTCTTTTCAACGAGTTCTTAATCAAGCCATTCAGTCATATACATATATGGAATTTTAGGCATTCATTTTTTGAGGAAATATGAACAATCAACAGACATGACGACGCTATAGGAAGATTGTAATACTATATTACATGGTGTAAGTAATGACAATAAACAGTTTTGTACCTTCTGTATGATACGTGCAATTAATATTTACGTGATAATTATCAATCTTGTAAGTGATCGTAAATTCTGTGTCTATACCATACAAATTCACTTTGGGACATTCATACTAATATTGATTTTTAATAGAACTTGTTTATTAGACGATCATCGGTGTTGTGCTGTTTTGATCATAAAGTTAAGCAACGGTTATTGATCAACCGACTGTTCAATTAATTCATTTGTGTGCAATCACTTCCACACAGTGAACACAATTTTTATGAGTAAATTTTCTACCTTTAAACAAATTCGATGGAGCAGCAATGAGATTAAATGTAGTTATTGGGCTAGAATCATCAATAATAAGACGGCCCATAATGACGATAAACCTTAAAGTGAATCAGCTTCATGCTTTCATAATACGGTCACTAGTGGTCAGTTTCGAGTGTAACCATGTTTGTGATAAGGCAGATATCTCTGTTAGCATCGGATAACGATTTGATATCTATGGTTGACTGAAACTGGAACTGTTGATCATTGGTTCACTGATCTAAACATATCGTGATCATAAAAATCTTTGAGGATGAAATCAAAAGAAACTCATGCATTCATGATCTATTCTCAATAAACGATTTTTATAATCTGTTGGGTGTTTTCAATTGTTTTCATTCCCGTAAAAGAATTATCCACCTCACAGCATGTGATAGCGTTATATCTATTAGATTTACATGGTGTTGTTTGTTTGTATTTTCCCTTTATTGTTTAGGATTGCAATTGATCAGTCCCTTGTTGGCATATGTGTATACTGTGCGGATTGACTCAATATTGCCTTAATTCACAAATAACATATGTAAAGATAGATAGTAGCTAACAGTGGAATCCAGTTAGGATGTATGTTTTGTCCTATTTGCGACTCGTCAGCTGAATGTTTCTGCACTTCAAAGTTGATATTCACTCTGGGACTCGAACCCAGTATCGTTCACTTCAAATATCATCACGTTATCCACTTAGCTTACCTACTACTATATATCACATATAGGAAATAGTACTTTGTGAATATTTATTTCGTCACTTATTTCCACCTAACGGCTATTATTATTAATGTTACCATTCCTATTATTATTTACACTAGATTAAAGATGAAATTGTTTTTTTTTTTGGAATTTACAGATTTTTCTCACTTTATTGTCATACAAAAACAACACACAATATGAATGAGAACAATATCTATGTCTGCACATCGATCTATATATTAGTTATCTATCTATCTATTTTAAATCTGTCTACCTAGTCTCAACATCTATCCATCTTCCCAACATCTATCCATTTAACCACCACCTAATGTGTGTATGTGTGTGTGTGTTGGTACAACTACTAACTGAGGAAATGAAAAAATCAACAACAAAAAAAATAATTACAACAAAAATCAAATAAGTTAAACTCATCATCGGATTGGTTAATCTCGAAAAAATTATTTTCTTTATATAAATTTTATTTATTTAGTCAGTTATTTAGTTAGTTTCATATATAAAATTACATACATACAATCATATCATAGGTTATTTAAACTTTATCCCCACGGTTACCTGTTTCAACAATCTAATTCCTTATTCAATTTCTATTATTCAATACACATATATAGATATTAAAAGGTGATATTGATATTGATAAGTTAGTTGTTAATTGCCAAATACTATTTAAATGTTTACCTATTCTAATTAACTGATTATTATTATGTAGAACAAATCTATTCTTATGATTGCTGTATGAAGAAGAAGTTATATAACACATTATAAATTATACATCAACTCTCCTTATCAACATGTTTTGGATCAATATAGGCAATCTACAACTCTATCTCTCTCTCTATGTATAGAGAAGATCTAATAATCATTATGCATTTTGTATGAAGTTTGAACTGACAATTGTACCCATTGTCTTTTGTTTTTTTACAAAACAAAATCATGTTACTTATAAATCATTATCAGTATTATATTCCATTTAATTTAATTATTTATATTCAATTCATTTATAATATAAATTGTCATTTATCTAATTTATCCCAATTCAAAGAATTATATTATTCTATTAATGAAGAATCAGAAATTGGTTCCTATATAGGTAATATTAAATTAGATTTTGAAAAGAAATTTTTTATGAATATTAACAATGAAAATCATTTAGGTATATTTGAATTATATGATGATACAAATCAAAATTTATTTCGTATTGATGAATACAATGGGAAATTATTTGTTGCATCACGTATTGATCGGGAAACATTATGTCCACAACCTGAAGAATTTAATGAATTATTAACTCATAATGATAATAATCAATATTTGATGGCATCATCATCATCATCATCGTCGTCGTCGTCGTCGTCACCTAAACTTATGGATAGTACATTCAATGAAATTACAACAAATGAATGTCAAATTCATTTAACCGTATGTATATCACGTATACATTGGATTAATATTATTATTATTATACATGATATTAATGATCATACACCGTATTTTCCATTCACTTCTACATCGAATCAAAATATAACAGAAAAATCTATATATATTGTGAATGTCTCTGAATCTGTTAATATTGGTTATGAAATACCATTAATTCTTGCTAAAGATCCAGATAAAGGTATTAATTCTATTCAATCTTATACACTACGTGGTAATGATTTTCAATCATCGCTATTTTCATTATCCTATAAACCACCATATCATTTAAATCTTATTATATTAGGTGAATTAGATGCAGAACTGAAGAATAATTATACTGGTGAATTGATTGTATGTGATGGTGGACAAATTATTCCAAAATGTTTTCATCAACCATTTCAATTACATATTACTGATGTGAATGATAATAAACCAATATTTAATCAATCCATTTATGATATTGAAATTTTCGAGAATATTCCAATGAATTCAACAATCATTAAATTAAATGCAACGGATGCAGATTCTAATCAAAATAGTAAATTATTATATAAATTTGGTCGACCATTAAGTCAATCATCATTAGACCATTTCAGAATTGATAATAATACTGGTGAAATCTATTTAAAAACACCATTGAATGCTAAAGAAAATACTGGATTTATTTTACCAATTATAGTACAAGATAGTGGTATATTACCATTAATTGGTCAAACAGTAGTTCGTATCACTGTTAAAGATACTAATGATCATGATCCATGGATTGAAATCCGATCAACACAAGAGGGTAATTTACATAAGACATCAGTTGATAATAATAATAATAATAATAATAATAATAATAATAATATAAGTAAAGTTAATTATAGTGATCATGAAGCTCATTTATCAATAAGTGAAAATCAACCAGCTGGGACGGATATTGGTTTAATTATTTCTGGTGATGATGATATTGGTGAAAATAGTATAGTATCATGTAGTCTAAAATCTAAAACTCAAGATTTTAAACTTGAACACGCTAATTCAGCTAAAGGACGAGAAATCTACCGTCTAAGTACAACTAAATCATTTGATCGTGAAACTGTGATAGATGGGATTATTAAGATTGTTATCACATGTCAAGATAATGGTAAACCAAGTCGAACAAGTGAACAAACGATCTTAATAAATATATTGGATTTAAATGAATATAGACCAACGTTTACTCAAGAAAATCGAGTTATCCATCACATTATGCCGGAGAACCAACCAATAGACACTGTTTTATTACAAGTTCACGCCAGTGATGCAGATTCTACTCCAGAAATACAATATCATATATCAAGTGAAGCGCAATCATATTTTTACATAGATCCTGACACTGGTGTGATAACTACAAGAGCTATATTAGACAGAGAAACTATGCCTCAGATTCGATTTCTTGTCTATGCCACTGACAACTATTCATCTGAAACAGTTCAAGGCAATCATGTAGCTGTTGCAAATTTTACTGTTCACCTAACTGATAAAAATGATAACAGTCCAGAACTCATCGGTAGTAAATCTTTTCAAATAGTCGAAAATCGTCCTGGTTTCTCTGACTTAGTTGGTCAACTCACTTCGATTGATCAAGATGATGGAAATAATGGAACAGTACACTATAAATTGATATCAGCCAGTGATAGTAAAAATAATCGAATCCCTAATGAATTGTTTATGATTAATAGTGATACTGGAAAAATATTCGCTACAAAGAAACTTGACAGAGAAGAAAATAGTCAATACGAATTGGTTATCTTATTACATGACCTTGGAACACCAATTCAACGTAGTTCAACAGCATCTGTCATTGTTAATGTATTAGATGAAAATGATAATATTCCACAGTGGGAAGAAATCATCCAAGCTCCTGAATTCGCATCACCTCAACAAATTAACATTCTCAAACGACCACATATGATCGGTTTAAGTAAAGTAACAGAATTAGGAATGATGAATATAACTACACCAATTTATCGAGGACAACAAATCCTTATTTTATCGGCTAAAGATCCTGATGATGCACATAATGCAAATTTAACATTTCAGCTAATTAGAGTTCACTTTCTTAAGAGTGATTATATACAAAGTGAAGATAAAGTTTTATATAACAATAAAATTCACTCTACAAATTCTTACACCACATCATCAGTGAATTCACCATATTTTGTGGTAGTTACTAAAACCGGTGAATTAATTGCTGGTCCTGGTCAAAAAGGTATTGGATTAACTGATAGTGGAATATATGAATTATATCTACGTGTATGTGATAATGGAAATCCTCCCTTAGATTCAAATGCACGTTTATTTCTACAAGCGCATCAATCATTAAATTCAGCTTTTGATGATAAATTTGGTGAAAAAGGCTTTCTAGGATATTTATTGACAAATGGTCATTTAGGTATTATGTTAGTTATAATTCTATTATTAATTATGTGCCTTACATCAGTTTGCCTTATTATTGTATTCATTTCAATCCGACGAAGATCAAGTCGTCAACAACAACGTCAAGCTAATCGAAAATTGTTAAAATATGATAAAAACTCTTATCCACTACATTTGAATGGTGAATTAATTGTTGAAGAAAATATCAATTCAGGCGGTACAATTAGTAATTATGGTAAATTGTACCATTCACCTATTATAAATACAATATGTCCTGTAGATGGTGAAAGTTTATACAAATGGAACCCAGAATGTGGTTATACGATGGGAAATTTCGGTCCACCACCGATTTATAATTTTTGTGCATTGAATACAACAATGGATAGAATGCGATCTAGTCATACTGATAGTGATAAAAGCAGTTCAGCATTAATGTCAACTGAATTCCCATGTTCGATTAATCATTATTGTGAAGAAAGACCAATGATGAATGGAGAACAAACAATTAATTATGGATTTACATCTCCACTTAGAACAATACCAAAATCTGATGGATTAGGATTTAAAAATCCCAGTAGTTATACTGAAACATGTTTGATTCCTAAAACGATACAATCAGAACTGAATTGTGTAAGTTTATACAAAATAATTTCAAGAGAAATTATATAACCCGTTTTCATTATGCTATTTTGTCGATTTGATTTCACTATAGATTCTCATGAATTGTAGAAATGAGGTACAAGCCCTTCAGGTGCAAATTAAAAGTTTGTAGTAAACTATTCGATATTTCAATCAACGTATTTTACAGGTTCCTTTGGGGTGCAATTGGATAAATATTTACTTACTTACGTACACCTGTTACCCACTTGTAGACTACCGACCAGGATTCTCTAATCAACTCTGTCCTGGCCTTTCTTTACCAGTTGTTCCCAGTTGTCATTCATTCCTTTTATATCTGCCTTCAATTCGGACGCGATGTATTCGCTTGTCTTCCTCTTTTCATTTTGTCTACAGGATTTCACGTAAGGGCCTCCATTGTAATAGTTTTATGATTTCCACAATATAAGTCCTACCCACTTCCAGCATCTCTTTCTAATTTCCTCTTCCACTGGAAGTTGACTTGTCCACTGCTACAGTAGATCGTTTCTGGTGGTATCCGGACAACGAACGTAGACAATTGGCTATTAATTCCTTCACTTGATTGATGATATTTGTAGTAGTTCTCTAAGTTTTAGCTCCATACAATAAAATTGTCTTGACATTTTTATCAAAGATTCTTAACTTGATGTTGCTTGATATTATGAATGATGATAAATCTTCAAATACATACTGACTTACTCATGTAAGCAGTAAGTAAGTATATAATGAGTTATCAGCATGCTTGGTGAGTTTTTTTCCTTGTATCCTGTTAGCATAGCTTAAAAAAACAGTTATTAGCTGGTAAACATAACATTCCAAAAAAACTATTTTCGAACAGTTGTGTCACTTTTTAATAGTAGTATTTCTAGTTCAATAAACTAAACCAACTTATGTTTCACAATACATCATGTTCTTACTAAGATAAAATAACATAACCTTTAACATAATAAAGGTTATTTAAGATTTACTGATGATTAGTTACTACGTCGGTTTTTCAAAGAAAATAATAATAATTAGACAGATACATTTGTAATTATAAACTAATGTAAAAACAAGACAATTATTACACGATGAATATATTAAGAATTCATATCAATTTTTTAACCAGACATGTTATATTTATTGATTTTCTTCTTCTTTTTTTGTTACCATATAACCTGTATTCACTAAATATAGTAAATCATTATTAAAATAGGGATAAACTCAAATCGATCAATAAAATTAACTGTTCTACACATTGATTCATATGTAATTGAATTAATTTATGCTTTTTTCAGTATGATAGTTTTCACTTTTGCTTTTATGGTAAATTGTTTTTATATTTATTTTCTTGAACTATTTCTCTTACTATGTAGGGATGAATTGTGGCTAGCAGTGGAACCCAGTTTAGACGCGCGTTTCGTCCTAATTGGGAACTTGTCAGCTGGATGTACTTGCTAAGTGCATAACACGATAGAGTTTGAAGTAAACGATGCTGGGTTCGAGTCCCAGAGCTAACATCAAATCTGAGATGCAGATACATCTAGCTGACGAGTCACAAATAGGACAAAACGTGAGTCTAAACTGGATTTCACAGTTAGATACTATCCATCTTTGTTTATAATGCTTGTGATTTAAGGCTATATCGAGTCAATCCGCAGAGTATGCACATATGCCAACAAGAGACTGATCAATTACAGTCCTAAACATCAATGGGAAGATTCAAATAAACAGTATCAATTAAATTTATTTCTCTTACTACTCGAAAATCTTATCATTACAACTCCTTATTGTTCACCTACTTAAAAACTTGGCATTCTGTTATTTTCTAATAATAATAATAATAAAATATAATAATAAACTGAATAACTTGTAAACATTGTCATAAATCATTAATAGAAATTTAGTTGTGTTGTGTTATTTTTTTGTTTTTTTCTGACTAGACAGTAAAAGCATAAATACCTTAGATTTTTATTCGAATAAACCTAATTGTACTTCATCACTATAACACTAACATAAATAAAAGTGAACATACATTCGAGCTTAACTAGTGTAGTTAACAAGGTGAGAAAAAGTGTGAAGTAACAAAATAAGTCAACTGGGCGAGACTATAATTTATGGATGAACCAATCCCGTATAAGATAACAGGTCTCGGATTTTGGCACGAAATGCATTCATCCAGTTGAATAAATTGAGTTTTGGCATTATAGCTGATGTCAGTTCGTGATGAAAACCCTAAATCTAATTCCTAACAACAATCATCAACCGTAAATTATAATCCTTATTCCACAAACAGATTTATAACCCTCATTTGGTCCAGATTATTAGGTGAACGCCCCCAAGGTAAATCTAGCGTCGCTCGAACGTCGCCCATAAATTATAGTCTCACCGTCAACTGTGAAGAATATAATTCAAAATAATAAGAAAAAATCTATTAAAAAAAAGAAATTAAATGGGCAACAAAAGCGAAAAGGAGAAATTTACTTCATTTGGTAAAGAATTTACTATTTAGACAGATTGGTAGTAATGATTATGAATGTGAATTCTCTTCTCTAATTTTCTCTCCTCCTATTGTAAAGAAACAAATGAGTTGTGATGAGCCAGTAAATTTGTTTTTCTTATTTTTTAAATTTTTTTATTGAGTACTTCACTGTACTTCTTATCCAGATTAGTTTTTTAACTGGAAAAAATAATTTTGATGAAGTTTTGTTCTCTAAGTTGGTTGGTTGGATTGTGTAGCTTTCATCGTTCTTCTGAATGACATCATCAGCACGAATTTCAGTTCATTTGTACTGATGATGTTATTCAGAAGAATGATGAAAGCTCCATGATCAAACCATCCAGTTCAAAGGATAAAACCCCATAAAAATCATCCACCTGAGTTAAAATTCTTCTCAACCATCTGGAAAAATTAATGTTTAGTTTTTTTTAGGTGATTTGTTGAATGAATCTTCTTTTAGGAAAAGAATAATAATTTATCAGTAGAGAACACTTAAACATACTTGCTTAATTTGATTTGTTGTAGTAGAAAATGATTTGCACATGAAAAGATGAATGTAACTTGGAATAGTCTTAAGAAACCTTATTAAATTGAACAAAAACAAACATTTTATTAGCATATAGGATTTGTGAAGATAATTTAAGGCACAGAGTTGATATCCAAAGGATTACACTTACAATTTTAACCAATTAGTAATGATGATTGATCCTTATTCATTGCAACTGTTAAACCGTTTATTTGATTGTCCTTTACCAATCATGCCTTCAGGATTAATCTTCTATAACTCCATATTAGACTTATCTCCAGAGAGCATATGGTTATTATTAGGAAATTCAATGTTTCTTGAATAATGGTTCTATTTCTTACTAGATCTGTTAATAAATTAGTTAATATATACGTGAATTTCTTAAAACGTTTCAAATGATTAATATTCATTTCCTGTATTATGTAGTTTGGTTTATTCCTGTTTGAGTTGCGATGGTAACGTTTAAGCATTATCAGGATAAAATAGTTGATGATTTAGTTTGACGAAAATTGTTTACAAATGATGATACTTATTATTAAGCACTACCTAAACTTTAATCCATATCATTTAGAATATAATTAGGATAGAGAAAACTAGTGAATATGTATTTCAAATGAAAATGGATTTTATATAAAGTTTTTGATAAAATAGAACTATCTATTCATATATTATATCGTTGCTTTTTACTTGGTCAGAGAGGAGTTTTGTGGAGATTGTAGTAATTTAATTGAATTCATTAGTCAATTAAAGCTAGACCACCATGGAAAACCTGAAAGTTTTAGGTCTGTTGTGAGATAGTAACTCACTGAAGACAATGGTGCACGATGGCGCAATTTCACGTATTGGTTGGAGTTAGATATTAACACTATACCGGCTAAGTGATCCAGAAGTTAAGTGTTTGCACGCGAGACTGATAGGTCCTAGTTTCGAATCTCGCTGGGTGTGAGGTCATGGATTCGCACTGCTGAGGTGTCCCATACTAGGACGAAACGGCCGTCCTGTTTTATAATGTCTCATCAGTATTGACTATATTGACTATGTAAGCAAACATTTATTATTTTTCCAATAGATTAACAAAGATAGTTTATATGATGATATCAGAAGAGTTCAGAAATTAACTACGTATCTGTTCATTATTTATAGTAAATTTATTTGTTTTATAAAGCAAGGAAGTAAGCATCTATTTTTATTAAAAAAATGCTTTCGAGTGAAATATACTACTTCATTATTTAGAAAGTGACACTTCTAGTTTAGGTCAGTTGATTACAGATATGCTAACTGATTGTTTGTAAACATGAATTGTTTAAGAGGCAGTTGCACTGTTTCAGTACGTTTGTCTCGAGAAACGTAAACGTTTTGCCTGCCACTAATCAATTGCACTATTCCAGTAGAATATCCATTTAATGTAAAACTTTCATTTATATATAAATTTGTCTATATCTACTTGATAACTTCATTTCTACTAAGGACATGATCACATCACTGCGCTTAGAACTGATTGTACACTACAATAACATCATTTTGTAGTTATTCAGTGGATGTTGACAAAATAATTCTCTCAATTTTACGAAGTTACTTAACAATTGATTTCTACAAACACTTCAGTGAAAAGATGAAAATGCAAAGGATAAATGTATTAGACTAAATTGTTTACTTACATAAAGTATGTAGACGAATAATTTGGTTACTTTTATGATCAAACGTCAGTTTTGATTATTTAAATTCATTAACTGGATTTGTGAAAACTGTAGAACTTTCATAGTGTACTTTCTCAGTTAGATCACAATTAAAAACTTAGAAACATTGGATACTGTTGCCTTTAAGTTTTCACTAGTGCTTTAGCTAAGATCAGTTTGTGGCTTGAACTATAAACATAAACGTTCTGTATAGAAATAGCTTTCACCACATTTGAATTTATATAAAAACTCATAGAAAACTTGGCAGAAAACTCAATCTTGATCTGAATATCTATCAGGTCTGTAGTGT